GACCTGCTGTGTTAACACATGGCCCCTGATCTTAGCAGCTTAAAGGACAAGGCTTCTTTCTCATTCTGGCTAAATAGCCAGTGCAGTCTAGCAGAGGAACTCTTGTCACGAGGTCCCTCAGGGACTCAGGTTGACACGGGGTCTATCTGGACATACGTTCCCACCATTACTGCAGAGGACAGAGTAATGTACTAGCAGTTAAATGCTTCTACCCAGAAACGACACGTGGGACCTCCGATCAAGGTAAGTCCCGCGGCATTACCCCTCTCCCCAAAGGGGGCAGGGAAGTACAATGATCCTCTATGTGTGTCCGGAAGGAAGAGAAGCAGAATGTGTGGGCAATCCTCAAGCGAACCCCCCTTACACCGGTGCAGTGAATCCCAGGCCACAAACATACAAGTGACTTTCTAGAAGGCTCCTTAATTTCCTAGTTGGTCTGATTCTGCTGAGCGGGTGGAAGATTTCACCTCTGTTGTTCTTGGGGGCTTTCTGCCTGGTCCCTGGACCAGGTCAAGTTTCCTAGCTCTGGTACAGTGTCAGGATGTCAGGGGAAGAGAAGCTTTCATGCCATTTATTATGGGCTGAATTGTGTCTCCCCCCCCCCCAAAAGTCATACAGTGAAGCCCTAACACCCAGCACCTGAGAATGTGACTGTATTTGGAGACAAGGCCTTTAAGAGCGGATTAAGTTAAAACAAAGCCATTCGGGTGGGCCCTAATCCATCTGACAGGTGTCCTCATAAGAAGAGGAAATTTGGGCACACAGAGAGACATTATGGCCGCGCCTGCACAGAGGAAAGGCCATCTGAGGACATAGCGAACACACCATGGAGAGGGGCCCCAGGAGAAGCCAAGTCTGCTGACACCTTGATCCCAGACTTCCAGCCTCCAGAACCGTGAGAAGGAAATGTCTGTCATGTTAGCCACCTGGCCTGCAGTACCTGGCAGGCCACTACACCACTGGTCGCGTGTTCCCAGCTGTTACCACTAAGGCCTCCGGTGCTCCTGGCGATAGGGACCTGCTGAGCTCAGAGCTCTGCAGTGTCTGTATCACTTGGGCTTGGAGACCGCTGTGCCCAGAGTCTTCCTCCCGAGGCTCACAAGGGCGCCACCTTATCTGGAGCCCGGCCTCCCCCATGCCTGGTCCTCAACGCTCAGGGACACATAGACCTGACTCCCAAGGGAATCCCCACCTGCTGCCTTCAGTAACCCAAGGCATTTGGGACAAAGTCAGGAGGTCAGCCACCATCTGTGGGCTTCCCTGGGTAAAGAAGGACAAGACCCAACTCCCCCTGACATGAAAGGGAAAAGAAAGCGAAGCTCAAGAAGGAAAAGACACAATTACTATCTCAAAATATTATCCTATTTCCTGCGAGTGACCTGTTGGTGGTGGGAGGGGGGCTATTTTGATCCTCACATATTGTCATTAGGACCAAGCTTGCTGTGTACAAGATAGTTTCTTTCTCTCCCGTTAAGGAAGCCTGTTGGCAGCAGTCCAGTGCTGGTACAGCACCACCATCACTGGGGACAGGACTTGTTGTTCTGTCTATTTGAGAAGTCCCAAGGCATAGCTTCCCAAAGTCACCTACCTCATCATCCAAGATGGCTGCCAGAGAGTCGGTCATCACATCAGCATTGTAGGAAGCAGGGGGACAAAAGAGCACACCTCCTAGCTGAGTCAACGCCCATTAAGCAGTCTGTGTTAAAGAAAGTCTCATACTTCTGCTAACATCCACTGACCAAAACTTAGTCATGTGAGTGACTACAAAGGGTCAAGGAATGTCACCTTACACCTGCCTGCTTCACTGAACCACGAAACACCAGGGTGTGGTTACTAAGGAAGGGAAGATTAGATAGCAACCAGTCGTCAGATACCCTGAGTCCCTATGAGGAAATTGAAGGTCAGGGAGAAGACGCGACTCGCCCAAGGTCCATACCTCATGAGCAGAGGCAGCAGGGAGGTAGGACTGGAACTTGGGCCACATAGGGTTAATTCCATTGCCATAACAAGGCTTCCAGAATTCCCCACATTCTGGCCACTCTTCAGCGTGGTGTTTGTTGCCATCTGGAAAGTGCTCCTAGAAGAACAGGAGCAAGCAAGTCTTTTCGGGAAGATTAAAAATTTGAATGGTGCACAGTGTCAATGAGGCTGCACTGGTAGGAGTTAATACTTGTACAGCCTCCTTGAAGAGTGTGCTGGTTCAGATTAGGTTGAACTATAAGAGAAAAATCCAAAGCGGTTTAAACAAAGTAGACATTTTTTTCTCCCTCATATTCAAAAAGCCATCATAAGGGGCACCGGCTGGCTCAGTCGGCTAAGCTTCTTTCTGACTTCAGCTCAGGTCATGATCTCACAGTCCATGGGTTCCAGCCCGTGTTGTCCTCCGTGCTGACAGCTCAGAGACCGGAGCCTGCTTCAGATTCTGTGTCTTCCTCTCTCTCTGTTCCTCCCCCCATGTGTGCCCTGTCTCTCTCTCTCTCTCTCTCTCTCTCTCTCTCTTAAAAATATATAAATATTAAAATTTTTTTTTCTAAAAAGGAAGGAAGTCCAAGGCCACCATGGATGCACCAGTGTCAGGACATGGGCTCCTTCTGTCTTGTTGCACTTCTGTGAGAGGCTTCCGTTCCCAAGATACTCTGTGATTCAAGATGGCTGCTACAATACCAGCCACTGCAACCACATCCCAGTTAGCAGGAAGGAACAGAGCCTGTTCTCTCTCTAAGGAAGTTGTGTGCATGCTTGCATCCCATTGGCCAGAACGTAGTCACATGGCCACACCCACCTGCAAGGATGGCTGGAAAATGTAGTCTTATTCCAGGAAGCTGTGTATCCAGCTTTTGAAAAAACCAGGGATTCCATTACAAGGGAAGAAAAGGAGGGGCGCCTGGGTGCTCAGTCAGTTGAGCATCTGACTTCGGCTCAGGTCATGATCTCATGGTTTGTGAGTTTGAGCCCCGCGTCGGGCTCTGTGCTGACAGCTCGGAGCCCGGAGCCTGGAGCCTGCTTCGGATTCTGTGTCTCCCTCTCTCTCTGCCCCTCCCCCACTCACGCTCTGTCTCTCTGTCTCAGAAATAAATAGACATTAAACAAAAATTTTTTTAAAAAACAATGGAAGAAAAGGAGGACATATATTGGAGGACGGCTATTAGTCTCTGCCAGAAGACTGTAAGACTAATTAAAACTAATGAAGACCGTGTGCTCCAGTAATTCCACTTGCATGAGTTACCAAAAGCGTATTTATAAGGATTTTTGCCACTGTGCTGTCTGTTGTTGCAAAATAGATCAGGAACAGAAGTCCATCCCAAGGGGACTGGTTAAATAAATTGCTATATATCCATAATGTATGCAGCTGCCGGAGGGAAGCAGCTCTCGCATCTGACATGGGATGATCCCAAGATCAGATGTCAGTGAGGAAAAAATCTACAGAACGTCTACGTTCCCAGAACAGGGGTAATGAATACACACGGGGGCCTCTGGAAGGCAATGAAGCCCCTGGCCTCGGTGGTGCTTCGGGGGGGAAGGGGACAGGGAACCTGAAAGTCAAGGTAGGGAGGAGAGTCAAACTTCATCGTACACCTCCCTGCACCTCGTTTTTTTTGAGTGTGTGTGTGTGTGTGTGTGTGTGTGTGTTTTGGCATGTACGTCTATTACCTATTAAAACACAAACTTTAAGATCAGAACAAAAAAAGTGGTAGGCTTCTAGCCTCTTCTCTTCTGTTGGTGCCTCCCTGTTGACACAGCCATTTGGTCCGTCACCACACTGAGCAAACCCCGGCTGTGAGTCTGGTATCTCAGCACAGGCGTCCCGGGCTGCAGACACTGAATGCAGCTCTGGGCTGGACTGTCCGGTCCCGCCAGGCCCCCAACGTTTGCCCTGCTTGGGAGGCGCTGTAGGCCTCCTTCCCCCGCCCCCAACAGGCTTCTAGGAAAGCTGAGAGAAGCAACCTCCTGACAGCCCCAACGGTCCCCTCCCTGGCTGTGCCTTTGCACTTGACGGTGTCTGGGCCCACGGACAGCCCTCTGGGCCCCGGATCCCAGCGAGCGTGCCTCATGGGCCCCCCCGCCAGTGCCCTTGCTGTTCTCCCACGAAAGAGGGCTGGCAGCGCAGGCGGGGCTGGGCCTGACCCTCAGCACCCCTGTGGTCCCACTGAGCCTTCCTCCTCCTCTCTGGCACAGGGGATCGCGTAACTGGCAACTCCCTTTTTCTCCGGCTGCCCAAAGTCTCAGGGACAGACTTCAGTACAATGGCAGCAACACGGACACAGCACCTCTCTCTTATTCACAGGTTGCTTTATTCTGGCCCCTTTTCAGCGTATCCCATCAACTCCCTGCCACCCTACCTTCGGAGCACCTGTTACGTGGCAAGCACTGTTCTAGGGGCTAAAAACAATCCAGTTGTCACTACTGCCCCATAACCATCTGCCAGCCGTGCACGCCTACTGTTTCCTAACCCTTACAAGAGCCCCTCGAAGACAGGCCTTCTAATCCCCATTTTCCAGATGCCGAACGGGAGCTGGGGGAGGAGAAGCAGCCTGTCCAAGATGGCGGAGCAGAAGGAGCAGAGAAAGGATGGGGCCCGCAGGGCTCATCCCAAACCCCGGGCTCCCCAACAGGGTAGGGAGACAACAGCTCACAGAACCATGATTCTCTTTTCACGTGCATCTTCTCTGCTCAAAAAGGGGCCTGGGGCAGGGAGCCCTGGGATCCGATTTCCCTCCATGTCCCCAGCAGCCAGCCTGTGCACTGGCCAGTGTTCCTTGGCTGAGCAAACGAAGGGGCCCAGAGCCTCCCAGGGCTGGGGACACAGGACCTGCCAGGACCTCTGTACGTCGTGGGTTCTCGCCCCGGCCCCGGTGCTCCGGCAGAACCTCCACAGCTACACCTTCTGCTCCTTTTGTTTTTTATTAAAAAATAGATCAAGAAAATATCCACACTTCAGCCCACCTGCCAGAGTGGGCTCTGAAGAGGCCAAAGTGCCACGGGGAGGGGACTTTGGAAGGGACGAGGAAGGCCAGACCGGTCCCGGGTGCGCAGGCTTTGGAGAAAGGAGACACCCTCAGCAGGCCCTGGGAGATCAGAGTCTGGGCCATGTCGCTGAGCAGGGTGAGGGCAGGTGGAAGGGGGAGGCGGCCCCCAGCTAGAGCAGAGGTGGCCACAGGCAACGCAGAGGGCAGGACAGGGCCCGCACGGGGCTGCCGCCCACAGAAGGTCCTGCGACCTCATCCCCCTCCACCAGGGGCTTTGCGCGCCCTGGCCTTCTCTCCAGTCTGCCCTCTGCAGGCCCCAGCAGGCCTTCCTGCCAGGGTGGCCACACTCAGGCGTTGATAGCCTTCCAGCGCTCACTGTCTGTGCTGTTGATGCTGCCAGTGTGGCAGGGCATGGAGGCGATGTCGTCCAGGTAGGCCACCCCTCCGGCCGAGTCGAACTGTGTACTCGCGGCCCCTGCCGCCTCCGGTCCCTCTCGCCGGGCCACCGCGTAAGGCTGGGGCAGGTGCACGTCTGGTTCCTCAGTCTCGTCCACTTGGCATTTGTAGGAGAAGAGGATCTTGGGCTCCGAGCTGGTGGGGAGGACAGAGAGACAGGGAAGCTCCACCGGAGGGTCAAGAAAGGCTTCCTTTTCTGGGCAATAAGGCCTTCGGCCAGGGAATGAGACGCACGAATGGCTGCCTAACCGCCACCCTGGGAGGTCCCCAAGGCTTGGACTCTGGAGTCCAATGGGACTTGTTTTAAAACTCAGCCCATATGTGAGCTTGGGCAAGGACTTCTGCGCCTGTTTCTGTACAACTCTGAGCTCAAGAGGGTAAATGGAGGTAAATTCCGCCCCGAGGTGCTCCGCAAACACCAGCTGTGACCTCCACCCTTGCAGCTTTATGACCTCTCACTTTGCATTTACCCGGTCCCTCCAGCATTGAGATAACACTGATGGGGAAGCACTGCACCCGATTTGCAAAAAGGAGCCTGAGGCCAGGGAGATAAATACACGTGCAAGGTCCCACACGGATCAGGGTTGGGCTGGGGTCCAATCCAGCCCCTCTCACCCCACCTCTGATGCCCCCACCTCCTCAAACCCAGCAGGTGGGGGAGGGTGCGGTGGCAGGTGGGGGTGGGGGGCAAAACGCCAGCACTCCTGCCACAATAGAGGCCCAGGGTCCAAGCCTCCATCCCACGTGTCCTTAGCATCCTGTCTCCCTGCCACGTGCACCAAAGTGCACCCACCCTACGCTGCACTACAGGCCGGCTTCCCCCAGGCCTGCTCCTCTCCCCAGCCACTCCCAGCTTGAATCCGGGAGCATGGTGACTTGTGTCTCCTTTGTCCCCTGCGGTGTCTGGCGGCTGCAGTGGTGCGGGACACGGAGTAGGTATTCAGTGAATGCTTGCTAAAAGAATTAGCTAATCTACCGTAGACCGAAAAGCAGCAAGTGTAGAACAGCGCAGAGCCACTCTCCTGCGGGGAAAGTGTGTATGTCTGTGTGTGTTGTATATATAATGTGTAACGTGTATACATATATAATGTGCGAATGTGTATGCGTGCGTGTAAGCACGTGTGGGAATATACATACACCCTTCATCAGCATCGCCTTCCTGGTATCCGAGCCTGCGCCGGGGCGAGGGACGCTCAGGACCCCGCAGCTGCCGATGCGCAGGCGCAGGCGCAGGAAGCTGGAGGCGCAGTTCCGCCGGCAGCCACGAGGCGGAGCTCACGGCCCTCAAACCACCAGAGGCGGGGTGGCGAGCAGGCAGGCTACCCCTCGGTAGCCCACACCCCTTGCCCACACCCCCCCACACCCCCCCCCGCCCCCGGTGGGAAGACTCACCCGAAGAAGCCCCGGAGGAAGGCCACGTAGATGAGGGGCGCAAAGAAGCTGAAGTAGAGAAATGTGGTGGCATCTACACAGCTGGGGGGCAGGAGGAGCCGGTCAGGGAGGGGCCTCCTCTGGGTGGGGCCTCGGCTTGGCCTCCCCCTGCCCACCGCCCCCACAGCCGGGCCAGTAGACACCCTGAACCCCGCCCCACCTACCAGAGCCCCTCGATGATGTCGGCGCAGAGCAGCGCGCTTCCCAGTCCCTGCAGCAGGTTGAGCAGCGCCAGGATGCCCGCATACACGTAGAAGCTCCTCCGTGCTGGGGGGTTGGGGACCGTGAGGTCCTGCCCTTGCCTCCACCCTTCATTCCCAGCATGTCACCGGAGACCCCTCTGGGCCCCCAGGAGGACTCCCTCCCTGGCACCCACGGCTCTCCGGGAAAAGAGTCAACGCCCCACCCCCCAGGGACCCAGCCCTATCCCAGAGCCACCCACCAGCTGCTTACAAGGCAGGGAGATGCGCTCCTTCAGCGGGGTCTTGGGGAGCACGACCACCAGAGAGTAGACCTGTGGTGACAGAGCAGGGCTGAGAAGGATGCTGGGGACGCCAGTACCAAGGCATCCAGTCTCATGCTCTGAGGCTCCTCGGGGCCACCCCCAAGGTGCCCAGAAGGGGGGAGGGCACCATCGGCCTCACCAGGAAGAAGAAGCAGGAGCTGACCAGCCAGAACTGGCGGCCCCCATGCCCATAGATGTTGAAGTCCTCAGCCGACAGGTGGGCATCAGGGTACAGGATCTCCAGCGTCCCCTGCAGGGGCAGGCGGGGGAGGGTCTCGGTCTCCTGCCCACCTGGAAAGCCCCCTCCCTGGGAGCTCCCTCATACAAAGCACCCGGATCTCTCCACCACCCCAAGCCCAGCTCCCCAGCCTGGCCATCAGAGATTCCCACTCCAGACTGCTCTCTGGCCTCGCCCTGCCCCCTGCCCGCCTCGCTCCACCACCCAGAATAGGCCCAGCCATGGGGCAGGGGACAGAACTGGGCAAGAGGCAGCCCCCACCAGATCTAAGGAAGGAGTGTCTAGATGGACAACTCTCAGGGTGGTCTGCAAACCCGTATTTTCCCTACCCAGGCTGCTTCTTAAAACAGCAAGTTCTGGGCCTCCTCCCTGCCCCCACCCCAACCTATTGGATCAGAATAGGCAATAGGCAAGTAAAACCTGCCTTGTTAACAAGCACCCCAAGTAATTCCTGGGGCGCATTTAAAGTTTGAGAACACTGCACCTGATAAACATTCAAACCCTGACCCAGAATCAGGAAGCAGTGGATATGCGGCCCTCAGTGACCCCTGGCCTCCTCCAGGGAGCCCTCATAGCTGCACCTGCCCCACCTCCCCTCTTACCTGGGTGACAGAGTAGGCCAGGGACAGCACTGTGGTGATGGCCAGCACCCGCTTGATGCTTGACTTACTCTCCAGGTGACCTGGAAGAAACATGCTGGTCGGTCAGGGGGAGCCAGCCAGGTGGCCGTGGTGGGGTCGGTGCCCGCTAGGGAGGGACAGGGAGAGCACTGGCCCCAGCCGCACACGCACCAAAGGCAAGGCCCAGGATGACCACACTCAGCTCGATGGCCAACAGGAAGAAGCGGGTAATCTCCCACAGGATCTGGACACAGAGTGGGCAGACTGTCAGCCTGGGGGGCCCAGTCACCCCTCTCCCCAGTGCCCAACATCCCCCCACCCTTGTCAGCAGGCCCGGCCCCACCTTATCAGCAACGGTGGCAGCGTCCGAGGTGCTGACTGTCATGGACACCACGGCCCGGGCGATGCCCACCAGCGCCACTACGAACACCTGGTGGGCAAGAGCGGGGATGCCATTAAGGGGTCAGGTAACGAGGCCTCTGGGAACAGCGGGACTGCAAACCCACATCCCGCCTCTGCAGGAGCCTCTGATTCTTCGAGAACAGAAGGATTCTACGCTAAGAGTCGGGGGTGGGATGTAGGGGGGTGGCGAGATCCTCCGCTGCTGGTGACAGTTCCCTCTCCGGCCTCAGTTTCCTGGCTACACTGGCAGCCTGAGAATGGTGACATTCTTAGGGGTGACATGGTGGGTCCCCGCTGCCTCCTGCCTCTGTGACCTCGGGCCAGGAAGTGCACCTTCGTGCCTCAGTTTCCTTATCTATGAAATGGGGTAAAAGTAGCATGCACTGCATTTGATGGCTGGCAGGGGCAAATGGGTAAGTACATGTAGCAGAAGCATGCGTGGCACACAGTGAAAGCGAGGTGCATGTAGGACACTAGCACTGTCATATTAGTGGTTTTATTTCCAAGACACGGGGGATGGGAGGGTGCAGGGAAGAGACATCAAAGACCCTGGGGAGGGCTACTGCACCGGCAGGCGGTGCAAAAGTGCCTGGATTTTGTCACCCCGGTGTCCACTCGCTTCTTCTGGCAACAGCCTCCTCCCTCTCCCTGCTGCTCGCATGGTTCGGGGGGGCTGACCCCACCATGCCTGGCTTCAGGGGCTGGCCTGTAGCACAGGGCTAGGCATTCAGCCTATGGCATTCCCTGATTTGGGGATGGCGGGGGATCCCAAGGGAGTCTAGTGAAAGGCACGCCCAGGACAGCAGGTGCAGCCACTAGGAAAGGAAGCTGAGGAGCGCGCCAGCCTGGAGTTGCCGGGCTGTCTGGCTCCAAAAGGGCGAGACTGCTAGAGGCAAGGCCATCAGAGAGACCCAAGCTGACAGGGAGACAGAGACTGTGCCCCCATGGCATTGCCGAGCCCCTGAATCTAGCCATGCCTGAAGCCCTGGGACTTGTCAGTTTCTCAGTCAATATGTTCCCTCCAGCTTCTATGAATTTAACTTTGGTTTTCTGGGATACATACAAACAGGAGAGTCCAGGTACAGGGCCGCCTGAGTGGCCCCGTCAGTTAAGCGTCACAATCATGGTTTTAGCTCAAGTCATGATCTCGCGGTTTGTGGGTTTGAGTCCCAAGCCTGGCTCTGTGCTGACAGCAAGGAGCCTGCTTGGGATTCTCTCTCCCTTTCTCTCTGCCCCTCCTCACTTCCTGCCATGCGCGTGCTCTCTCTCTCTCTCAAAATAAACAAATGTAAGGAAAAGAAGAATCCAGACACACACAACAGTCTGTCCTCTGTGCCACAAAAACCGTGTCAGCCTCCTGGGGAGGCTGACCCCAAGATCACAGGAGCGCCCCAGGGTAAAGCAGACCCAGTGCACGTGACGTGAGAAGGAGGGCACTGAGGCACAGAGAGGCCAAGCTACCAGTCCAAGGTCATTCAGCACAGCTGGGGTCTGGAGATAGCCTGAGTCAGCCCTCACCGCTGTCTCCTGAGCTTTCTAGAACAGAGTCCCCAGGAATAAGAGGGCAGTGCTGAGTCCCCTGTCCCTGCGTTGTGTTCCTGGGCATTGGCCTTGGATCACTTCTCCCTGCCTGCTCCCCCAGAGAGGGCATCAGTAAGTGATGCTTTAAATAAATGCTTTATCTGTGGAATAAATACTCATCTCTGTAATGAGTCAGAGAGGCAGCGGGAGACAGAAGGGAGCAGGCTTCAACGCCCACCACTGCCTCACAGAGGAGGGGGCTCCAGTCAGCCAGCGACCCCTGGGGCCTCCACCAACGGCCTCCAGGGTTCCACACAGCCTCCCCTGACCCTGCCTGCCCGCTGACAACTCCCCTGCCTGGGAAGCTCTGAGCCAGGCCACAAAGAGGGGGACCAGAGAGCCATTCAGCTCTCAGGCAGTGGTAGCTAAGAGGCAGAGAGGGGAGGATTCCAGTCAGGCCTGAGCTCTGAAGGATGCAGCTGGATGGCCCCGCACCTGGAACCCTCACCTGGAAGCCACACCTGGGGCCCACCTTCTCAACCACAGCCCTGCTACCTCTCCTGAAGAGGCCCACACCAAGAGCACTGACTGAGGAGAATTCAGGTTTGCCCAACAGGCAGGAAGAGGTTCCAAAGAGGTCTCAAAGAGTGTGTGGATGGCTGGATGGACAGACGGACAGATGGGGGGGGGGGCCGTGGGCATTTCCCCCCCCAGCCAGTATCTATTCCCCTTCCCTCTACTAATGATTCCCCACTTTTCTTTCAGGGATCACCACCCTCTTCAGTCCACATAGTCTGGCTGAGTTGACCCCACACCCCAGCGCCAAAGTGCCCCTTTTCCTGCTAGTCACAGTGATTGGCTCGGGGACAAACGGGGACCCAAGGTGGGCCGGTCAGAGGGAATTTCAGGTCCATACTCGCACCGCCAGTAAAGAAGTCCTCTTCCGCTGGCATTGGCAGGGAGGCAGGATGTTAGCTCACGGCTGCTCTTGGCTATCTCTGACACCAGGCAGGGAGAGCCCATCTGAGATAAGGCCAGAGGAGGGCAGAGATGCAGAGAAACAGAGTCCTGATGACATTCGTTAATCCTCTGGATCCAGCCTCACCTGAAGCTGGCTTTCATTACAGAGGCAGTTGAGAATTCCCTTTTGCACTTATGCCAGTTGGAGTTGGACTGAACTCACCAGGATATAGAAGGTGATAAAAATGGGGCTGGAGGTGACGCGGATCTTGGCCCGAGCGAACGGAAGCTTCCAAAGCAGGAAGATGAAGAAAAGCACATTGGGGACGAGCAGCAAGACGTCCCAGTACCGGACCCTAGCAGACGGGCAGAGAAGCCAGCTGACTGGCAAGGCTCTGTCTGCACCCATCCCCCTCCGCAGCCCGTCATGCACACGCACACACCCCCGCACACACGGGGGAAACCCACTCACACACAGCCAGTCGGCCCAGCAGGGCCAAGGCTGCCTCACCTGGAGGTGCCAATATCCTCATAGAGCAGCAGCAGACAGCGATGTGGCACGCTGATGTTGGGCGCCATGGGCGGGGGCGGGGCTGTGCTCCCGTTGGCCCGAAACACCTCCTCCAGGGCGTCCATCCCGCCAGCAGCTGGCCCTGCGGGAGCGAGAGCCCCAGCGTGAGCAGCGCAGGAGCTGCGTGGCCCGGGGTCTCTGGTCTCAGGTTCCCAGTGGAACCCAAGAGGGCTGCCTACAGTGGGCCTGCGGACAGCTCCCCCACCCAGCAGGGGGAGGGCAGGCTGTGGCTCCTGCGCGTGCCAGAGCACAACCCCCAGACAGGGGCTCGGTGACCCCAACAGTAAATGCCACCCCACTGATGGAGCCTTACCGTGAGCCTGGCACAGCAGCGCAAGCTACTCGGCACGACCTCAGTTCATCCCCCCAGTCCCGGGGGCCCCGGGGACAGACAGAGAACAGAGGGGCTAGGAGCCAGAGTTCTTGGCCCCTCTGTGCCTGCTTCGTCCTGCCCTTGCAACGCGGTAATGACCGACGGCATCCACCCCGGGAGGCTCAGTGGTGCCAGGCGCCTCCTACGACCCACACACATGCAGTCCCCAGAGTCCACGAGCTGCACTTCCTCCCTGCACGCAGATGCAGAGCCGACTTCGAGGCAATCACACGGCCACCAGGCACCAGAGTGGGGCATCAGGCACACCTCAGGTGGCCCACGGCCCTCATCAGCCTCTGCTGCCACCCTGGAAAGGCAGATGCAAATCTGGGGGGACGTGCACTGTGCCTGGAAGCTGCACAGGTGTCCAAGTGGAGAAGGGAGGGAAGGAGATGTCCTGCAGAGGGCGCTGTGTCTGCAAAGGCAGGACCGGGGGCTGCTGTAGAGTCGGCAGGTGGGCCCGCAGACAAGCGTCTCCCAATGACAGCTTAAGACCCCAGCCTGGAGGTGCCTGGGTGGCTTTGTCGGTTGAGGTCCGACTGCAGCTCAGGTCATAATTTCATGGTTCTTGAGTTTGAGCCCTGCATCGGGCTCGCTGCTGTCAGCGCAGAGCCCACTTTGGATCCTCTGGCTCCTTCTCTCTTTTCCCCTTCCCTGCTCGTGCTCTCTCTCTTTCTCCCTCAAAAATGAATAAATAGGTAAAAACAAACATTAAAAAAAAAGAAGAAGAGAAGAAAAAGAGTCCAGCCGGTGGCCGGGAACCCTGGGAACTGCCCTGGACAAAGCAGGCTCCCAGGTGACTGGGCTCTCAGGGACAGGAGCAGAGGGGCTGGGCCCACACTGTTGGCAGCAGGGATTTCCTCAGGGAGCTCAGGGGGCCCAGGGCATGTGAGCGAGGTGTGTGTGGCCCGGGCACCAGGACATAACAGATGCCAGCATGAAAACGAATACTTGAACACACAGGGCCTGATGGCCTGGCGTCTCCACTTCTGGGTACATTTATAATAGCCCCAGGCTAGCAACAGCCCAAATGCCCACCATCAGCAGCGGGCACACGGACATGGCGGCGTCGGTATAAGCAGCAGAACAGAAAGAGAAACTACTGTTACCAGCAGTAACACGAAAGGGCCTCACAGATACGGTGCTGAGCAGAGCCAGCCACGAGAGTGGATATGCTGCTGCCTGACCCCGTGCAAAGATCTAGGCGAGGGTCACCTTTGTGGAGGACGGAGGGCATAGTGGTGGGGGGAGGAACACCAGCTTCCGGCGCTTGATCTGGG